GCATGCCTCTAGTGATTGTTCAATCAATGCTTGTCATGTCTCTAGTGATTGTTCAATCAATGCTTGCCATGCCTCTAGTGATTGTTCAATCAATGCTTGTCATGCCTCTAGTGTCGCCTGTCGTAGTCGTGCAGAAACGCTATACATTTTCTTTGAATTTTTCTTGATAGCCGGTGAATGTTCAAAAACAGCAAATTCCAACTTAATTTGAAAAAAATATAATAATAGTGGCTTTGTTGGTTTTAGGTGACTGTCCTGCTGGGACTAAGAGAAATGATGATGATACGGCATGTGAAGGCTGTCCTCTTGGGACGTTCCAGAACCTGCCGCAGCAGAAGATGTGTCACACTTGTCCAGACATTAAGTCCACACGCCTTGAAAACTCCACAGATTCCTCAAACTGTGAGAGTAAGTAGGGACCAATATTAAGTAGTGGGGACATATGGTGTAAATGACGAACAGTAGTTTAGAGAGAGATTATGGTATTTAGTAGGAGACAGTCCTTGAGGGGAAGGAAAGTAACAAAGGTGGTAATTTTTGTTTTTGGCGGGGTGAGGAGGGGGGGGAGGTTAAAGGGTAAAAAGGGTATGTATGAGTACGAATATGAGATTAGTCTGTTGGTCATCCTTGGGGCACAAACAAAGATAGCAGGGGTTAGCCTTGGGAGACTGAGAGTAAGCAGGGGCCATCCTTTGGAGACTGAGAGTAAGCAAGGGACATCCTTGGGAGAATGAAATTATGCAGGGGCCATCCTTGGGGAATGGTAGCAAGCCGGGGGCAAAACTTAGGGAAATGATAGTAAGTAGATGTCCATCTTTGAGAGACTGATAGTAAGAAGGGTACGATCCTTTGGAGAATGATAGTACTTAGGGAGTCATCCATGCAGGATGATAGAAAGCAGGGAACCGTCCTTGTACAACTGTACGCAAGCAAGCAGGGGTCCATCCATGGGAAACTGTGGGTAAGCAGGGGCCATCATAAGGGGACTGAAATAAAAGCCGTTCCATGTGCGCTTCGTGAATGACATAAATCTTCAATATAGCTTGGATGACGTGTGTTATATTATGATAATGAAATTATCATTATCATTATAGAGAGCTTGCTCTCTATAGATTGGCATTGTATTGCGACAGAGGAGCTTTATGTTTTAACAAGTATTTGTTGTTTTGTATCAAGTTTTCTGTGCCAGTGGGAAGGAAAAGTTATCAAACGGAACCTGTAAGGACTGTGACATAGGTTATTTCAAAGACAACGATATTGGTAAATTCTCCATGTGTACACTGTGTGGAAACGGCATGATCACTTCCGGCACGTCGACGAAGAAGGAAAGTGAATGTACAGTTGGTAAGTTTCTGTTCATAATCAAAAGGAGAATAGCTTTATATATAATTACATGAAATACAAGTTCTAGAAATATAACATCACCTTCACGATATGATACAGAAATGCGTTTCATCATAGGTTAATAAGGACGAATAACTCCACTGATTGTGATAAAACCACCCATAGTAATAACACAATACATTGTAAACTAGTATATAAGCCTCACAGTATAGTTTTAATTAGTGGACTTGTAGGTTTGTCCTTACGCAGATCAACGCTAATTACTTGAAGACTAGAGGACGTGTATAACTGCTTGTAGACTAGAGGACGTGTAGGTTTGTCATTACGCAGATCAAAGATAACTTCTTGTAGATTAGAGGACGTATAGGTTTGTCATTACGCAGATCAAAGATAACTGCTTGTAGACTAGAGGACGTGTAGGTTTGTCATTACGCAGATCAAAGATAACTGCTTGTAGACTAGAGGATGTATAGGTTTGTCATTACGCAGATCAAATATAACTGCTTGTAGACTATAGGACGTGTATGTTTGTCATTACGCAGATCAAAGTTAATTGCTTGTAGACTAGAGGACGTGTATGTTTGTCATTACGCAGATCAAAGATAACTGCTTGTAGACTAGAGGACGTGTAGGTTTGTCATTACGCAGATCAAAGATAACTGCTTGTAGACAAGAGGACGTATAGGTTTGTCATTTCGTAGATCAAAGATAACTGCTTGTAGACAAGAGTAGGTATAGGTTTGTCATTACGCAGATCAAAGATAACTGCTTGTAGACTACAGGACGTGTAGATTTGTCCTTACGCAGATCAAAGATAACTGCTTGTAGACTACAGGACGTGTAGGTTTGTTCCTACATAGATCAACGTTAGTAAGTTATTTTTAAAGCTCTGTTTATAATTATTTGTTGTGTGTGTTCCAGCCAATTGTACTGCCGGACAGAAGCTTGATGTCAACATGAATAGATGCGTGGACTGTACCAAAGGGTATTACCAACCTGATAAATGGGAGACTTCCTGTATAGAGTGTCCGCCTCTAAAGACTACAATGGACAAAAAGGCTACAGGTGTCGAGGATTGTATTTGTAAGTGTGCTTACATATAAGTATATATGAATATGTCAAAAAAGCTGGTCTTATGGGTTTCCTGATACGAAGTTTCATGCAACAAATTGCAATCGGCTTTTGTCCCTCGTCCGCTATCCGTCTTGCGTAGTGCTTCTGTAAAAAAAATACGTTTTATTTTCTTCTTAAAACGCTTGGCCGATTGCCAATAAATACGTACAGACGCTTTCATAGCTTTTAAAACTGAACCAGAATTGTGAGTTATTGTCTCTCCGACTACACCAAAACGTGAATGGAGGAGCGAAATATGGTCCAATAGGCTAGCATTTTAGCAACCTTCTTCTTCAGACCTATATATGATAGAGTCAGTTACAAATTACAGTCTACGGATGGAAAGTTCGTAGTGTGCTTTTTGAAATTATAAGTGTTATTGCCTCTGATTCACCCATTCGCAGAGCGTTAGACAACCTAATACAAACACTACCCTTTGGGTTGGGGATTTTTCTGTCAAAGCCTCGAGATAAGGAAAGAATATATATTAATGTAACCTTCAAAATCGTTATCCCAATGGTTCCTTCATGCTTTGTGATGAATATAACGTAAACAATAATTGTGACATCAAACTGAGGTGTTCTAACTAGGACTTCGTATGCAATGAGCTCAGTGCTAGTGTCATATCTTTCTAGTTTAACAGTTCTTGCTTGGTATACACATACTGGTTCGGCCTATCGCCACACTTTTAGAACAGGAATGGCAGTGTGAGTCACTGAAATACCTAAAAACTTTGTTGATGCCAAATGTCTTTACTGCAAAAATTAAAATGACTTCTCAGAGGAAAACATCCAAACGTATTTCTGTGGTTTGAAGCTGTTTTTTTTCCAGCATTTCTGTAGCTAAGATAAACCCTTTCTGAAAAAAGACCCAATACCTTTCGGACCTTTTTGAGAAATAATAAAGATGCAAAATAAACACAATGTAATCAACAACATTGTTTTTAAACAGAAAAAAGTCAACAGCGGGCCTAGATCGGGGCCCGTATTCAAGAAACCGTTCTCATGCTCAAACTCCGATTATCTGCCCATCCCCAATTCCAATTTCTCTCTCTGGTGATAAATATTTTGAAGAATTTTAGAGAAGCTAAAAACTGAATACCGTTTTCAATATTTACACTTGACTTTTTTATGACTACGAGCCCGGGATTCGAACCCTGGATTTAAGATTGATACACCATCGCTCTTTTTGTCATCGTTCTAATATCCTTGGCTACATGATAAACAATAGAGCCGAGGCCCGACTGTGCTACAGTTATATATAAACGGAAGTTAAGTGGATGTTTCGTACAACGTTTAACACACAACGCAATGGGGCGGGGTTCCTTTAGTGTTAATGATGAATGATCGTCGGTTAGTTACAGTGAGGTTTTGTCTGTTACAGTACAATGTCCACCGGGCTTCCAGGATGTGGGAGGCAGTTGTACAGAGTGTCCACGAGGATATTTCAAGGCTGAAACAGCTGCCACAACCTGTACTATGTGTCAGAACAACATGATAACCGCAGGAAATGGTTCAACCTCTGCCAGCGCCTGTATAGTCCGTAAGTCTGTTACCTTGGTAACACTGACTACAAGTCTGTAAGAGGACCTGGGATACATAAGTAACAACTTTGTATAGGACATGGAAAACAATGGCTGTTAATACCAATACAGTGCTTCGCTTCATTGACTGTCAATCTCAACCGAGACCTGGGTAACATTGAAATTAAACCCCAATACATACCTTGTTTAATTTTACTGTGAATCCATATACAGGCCTTGGTTACACTGATTGTAAATCTAAATATCTGTGGTTCATTTGACGGTAAATCCGACTACAGACCTGGGTTACATTGACTGTCGATCCCAAAAAATCCAGGTTACAGTGACCGTTAATCTCAATACAATCGGTAGTTACATTAACGGTAAATCCCTATATATCTAGGTTACAGTGACTGTTAATCCATATACAGACATTGACCACATTGACTGTAAATTTATAAACATACTTTGGTTACATTGACTGTTAATCCAAATACAGACCTTGGTTACATGGACTGTTAATCTATATACAGACCTTGGTGACATTGATTGTTAATCCACATACAGACCTTGGTGACATTGACTGTTAATCCATATACAGACCTTGGTCACATTGACTGTTAATCTATATACAGACCTTGGTCACATTGACTGTAAATCCATATACAGACCTTGGTGACATTGATTGTTAATCCACATACCGACATTGGTGACATTTATTGTTAATCCACATACAGACCTGTGTTACATTGACTGTTAATCTATATACAGACCTTGGTGACATTGATTGTTAATCCATATACAGACCTTGTTGACATTGATTGTTTATCCATATACAGACCTTGGTCACATTACCTGTAAATCCATATACAGACCTTTGTTACTTTGACTCTTAATCTATATACAAACCTAGGTTAGAGTGACTGTTAATCCATTTACAGACCTTGGTTACATTGATTGTAAGACAGTCCTTTGGAACATTGACGGTATATCCCAATAGATGTAGGCCACAGTGACTTTTCGTAGTCACAATAACCAAAAATGAAAGCATATGATGAAACCAATAATTGAAGGTTATGTGTTGAATGGTATGATTTTGATACAATGTACATGTATGTTCAATACACTAACAAACGATACTTATATGTCATTCTTTTATCATGTTTTACGCTATGTCGTATCATTGTGAATTAGAAACCTTTTTCATGGTGATTGTTAAATATTATTTGTTAGATTCAATTTCTGAGGAACTTGCCATTAATTAATTACATTTGTACTGCTCTTATTTAGAAGATGTGACACTTTGGTTATTATAGGAGCTTCAATCTTGTTCTTATCTACAAGAGCGTCTTTTTGCACTCATCTGTTGGCCTTATCCAGAAAATCTTTCTTTTTGGACTCCATTATTGCTTGTTTTTCATCCGCCGCTTTTCCGAGAAAATCGGCAATTATTGGTATTGGTGTGAGTTTCTGGAGATCAGTCCAAATGTGCCATAAATGGTCCGTTTCAACCGAATTCGATATACGCATACAAAATGACATGTTTGAAGTGGAACATTCTTGTATGATAAATACATCTAATCCATGTAGATTGTTGAATTGGTTCCTGATGAATATCGGCTTCAAATGGTCAATTTTCAACAACATTTGATATGACACGCATGCGGCTATGTTCAATTGCCAAAGCGCTTCATAATCCATGCGTCAATTTGATTCTGATTGGTTGGTATGTTTTTGTGCAATACCTTCCTTACAAATGGTTCGATTTCAATAAGAAGATATATGCACATAAGTAATGGCAAAAATCATACGAAATTTTATCGCGAATGGGATGAATGTACATTCATGAATAATTATTGAGACCGTATTCTGTTTGGTTTCCGTGTAATAACAGCCCTTAACATATTGTTTTTGTTTCCATTTTGCATACATGTACGTATTGGCACCAAGCTATAGCATTATTTTAAAGTTGGGCTTACTTATGAGTTGGTCTAACTGTCGTTAGAGTTATTTCCTAAAAAGGACGATTGACTTTGACAGAATGGTTTATTTTACAGCTGGGTGTCCACCAGGCTACTATCTTAACCGAACAGTGGTTCCCATGGGCTGCAGACAGTGTGGGTACGATACTTACCAGGATGAGAAATGGCAGGATACGTGTAAGCCATGTTCAAATGGCAAAGTCACCCTTGGTATCAACGCAACCATGCCTTCCGATTGTGTCTGTAAGTCACCAACACCGGTTTCTATAAAAAGGAATTTTGTAGTTTGATTTACAGAAATTCAATATTACTTTTTTATGAAAATTCGTACCATAAACCTCAATGGTATTACAAACTTTCCCTCATTCATGTAAGAAGAATTCTTCATTAAGCAAATCATAGATAGGTTGTTTTAATCTCTTTAGTGTATTATGCGTTTGTTTTTAGTTGACTGTGCCTCTGGATCAGAGTACAGCTCTGCTACCGTGTCCTGTAACCTCTGTACCCGTGGCTTCTACAGAAACCGATCTGACCGCGCCCAAACTAAGTGTAATATGTGTCCAGCTGGGCTGATCACTGAGACGACTGGTGCCACTTCCCAGGCTGAATGTAACATATGTAAGTGTCTCGTTGTACATGTACAGCCTTTGTGCAGTAAGCTGATAACCCACATGGGTGGCGATGTGTAACATGAGTCACACCTTACATCATTTAGGGTAGTGGGATGATAACCCACATGTATGGCGATGTGTAACATGAGTCTCACATTACATCATTTATGTTAGTGGGCTGATAACCCACATGTATGGCGATGTGTAACATGTGTCTCAACTAAGAGGTATTTAGGGTAGTGGGCTGATAACCAGCATATGTGGCGATGTGTAACATGTGTCTCAACTAAGAACATTTAGGGTAGTGGGCTGATAACCCGCATATGTGGCGATGTGTAACATGTGTCTCAACTAAGAGGTATTTAGGGTAGTGGGCTGATAACCCGCATGTATGGCGATGTGTAACATGTGTCTCAACTAAGAGGTATTTAGGGTAGTGGGCTGATAACCCGCATATGCGGCGATGTGTAGCATGTGTCTCAACTAAGAGCATTTAGGGCAGTGGGCTGATAACCTGCATGTGTGGCGATGTGTAAATTGTGTCTCAACTAATAGCATTTAGGGTAGTGGGCTGATAACCAACATGTGTGGCGATGTGTAAAAATTGTCTCACATAACATCAATAAGGACATTGAGGATAGTGGAGTTTTATTTCACATATAGGTTTTTGTGTTATACTATACATGGGATGTGTGTTATATTTGACACAGTGGGATGTTTGTTATATTCGACACAAAGGGATGTGTGTTATATTTGACACAGTGGGATGCGTGTTATATTTTTCACAGTTGGTTGTATATGTTATTTGTTACCCAATAGATTATATGAGACATGTAAGAAAGTCTGTGTTTGAATGGTTTTTTTTACACGGATGACTGTACGCTATAATTAGCAAAGTAAAACTATATGTGACAAATTGGGTTGTATAATATATTCTAGATATTGAGTTTGATGTTATATTAGACACAGTGGGATGTGTGTTATATTTGACGCAGTCGGAAGTGTGTTATATATTACAATTGGTTGAATGTTATATTTCACATATTTGGTTTTATATTTTACACAGTGGGCTGTGATGAACATGGGACCTATAGTGATACTGCCACCCTTACCTGTAAGGACTGTCCCATCGGTACCTACTCTAATGAGAAGTGGAGATCCTCTTGTATTCCCTGTCAGGACGGTTATACCACGCAGTTCACTAAATCAAACAACTCATTTGCTTGTCAACGTAAGTAATATCATTAGAACACTTGTCTATTACGTTTAACAAGTGGTATAATATTTAGTGAGGTGGGTTTCCCTTATATTAAGCACGCCTATAACGGAGGTTAATGTTGTCAACCCGGCGTCGTTATCGGCACGCCTATAACGGAGGCTAATGTTGTCACCCCGGCGTAGTTATCGGCACGCCTATAACGGAGGCTAATGTTGTCACCCCGCCGTCGTTATCGGCACGCCTATAACGGAGGCTAATGTTGTCACCCCGGCGTCGTTATCGGCACGCCTATAACGGAGGCTAATGTTGTCACCCCGGCGTCGTTATCGGCACGCCTATAACGGAGGCTAATGTTGTCACCCCGGCGTCGTTATCGGCACGCCTATAACGGAGGCTAATGTTGTCACCCCGGCGTCGTTATCGGCACGCCTATAACGGAGGCTAATGTTGTCACCCCGGCGTCGTTATCGGCACGCCTATAACGGAGGCTAATGTTGTCACCCCGGCGTCGTTATCGGCACGCCTATAACGGAGGCTAATGTTGTCACCCCGGCGTCGTTATCGGCACGCCTATAACGGAGGCTAATGTTGTCACCCCGGCGTCGTTATCGGCACGCCTATAACGGAGGCTAATGTTGTCACCCCGGCGTCGTTATCGGCACGCCTATAACGGAGGCTAATGTTGTCACCCCGGCGTCGTTATCGGCACGCCTATAACGGAGGCTAATGTTGTCACCCCGGCGTCGTTATCGGCACGCCTATAACGGAGGCTAATGTTGTCACCCCGGCGTCGTTATCGGCACGCCTATAACGGAGGCTAATGTTGTCACCCCGGCGTCGTTATCGGCACGCCTATAACGGAGGCTAATGTTGTCACCCCGGCGTCGTTATCGGCACGCCTATAACGGAGGCTAATGTTGTCACCCCGGCGTCGTTATCGGCACGCCTATAACGGAGGCTAATGTTGTCACCCCGGCGTCGTTATCGGCACGCCTATAACGGAGGCTAATGTTGTCACCCCGGCGTCGTTATCGGCACGCCTATAACGGAGGCTAATGTTGTCACCCCGGCGTCGTTATCGGCACGCCTATAACGGAGGCTAATGTTGTCACCCCGGCGTCGTTATCGGCACGCCTATAACGGAGGCTAATGTTGTCACCCCGGCGTCGTTATCGGCACGCCTATAACGGAGGCTAATGTTGTCACCCCGGCGTCGTTATCGGCACGCCTATAACGGAGGCTAATGTTGTCACCCCGGCGTCGTTATCGGCACGCCTATAACGGAGGCTAATGTTGTCACCCCGGCGTCGTTATCGGCACGCCTATAACGGAGGCTAATGTTGTCACCCCGGCGTCGTTATCGGCACGCCTATAACGGAGGCTAATGTTGTCACCCCGGCGTCGTTATCGGCACGCCTATAACGGAGGCTAATGTTGTCACCCCGGCGTCGTTATCGGCACGCCTATAACGGAGGCTAATGTTGTCACCCCGGCGTCGTTATCGGCACGCCTATAACGGAGGCTAATGTTGTCACCCCGGCGTCGTTATCGGCACGCCTATAACGGAGGCTAATGTTGTCACCCCGGCGTCGTTATCGGCACGCCTATAACGGAGGCTAATGTTGTCACCCCGGCGTCGTTATCGGCACGCCTATAACGGAGGCTAATGTTGTCACCCCGGCGTCGTTATCGGCACGCCTATAACGGAGGCTAATGTTGTCACCCCGGCGTCGTTATCGGCACGCCTATAACGGAGGCTAATGTTGTCACCCCGGCGTCGTTATCGGCACGCCTATAACGGAGGCTAATGTTGTCACCCCGGCGTCGTTATCGGCACGCCTATAACGGAGGCTAATGTTGTCACCCCGGCGTCGTTATCGGCACGCCTATAACGGAGGCTAATGTTGTCACCCCGGCGTCGTTATCGGCACGCCTATAACGGAGGCTAATGTTGTCACCCCGGCGTCGTTATCGGCACGCCTATAACGGAGGCTAATGTTGTCACCCCGGCGTCGTTATCGGCACGCCTATAACGGAGGCTAATGTTGTCACCCCGGCGTCGTTATCGGCACGCCTATAACGGAGGCTAATGTTGTCACCCCGGCGTCGTTATCGGCACGCCTATAACGGAGGCTAATGTTGTCACCCCGGCGTCGTTATCGGCACGCCTATAACGGAGGCTAATGTTGTCACCCCGGCGTCGTTATCGGCACGCCTATAACGGAGGCTAATGTTGTCACCCCGGCGTCGTTATCGGCACGCCTATAACGGAGGCTAATGTTGTCACCCCGGCGTCGTTATCGGCACGCCTATAACGGAGGCTAATGTTGTCACCCCGGCGTCGTTATCGGCACGCCTATAACGGAGGCTAATGTTGTCACCCCGGCGTCGTTATCGGCACGCCTATAACGGAGGCTAATGTTGTCACCCCGGCGTCGTTATCGGCACGCCTATAACGGAGGCTAATGTTGTCACCCCGCCGTCGTTATCGGCACGCCTATAACCGAGGCTAATGTTGTCACCCCGCCGTCGTTATCGGCACGCCTATAACGGAGGCTAATGTTGTCACCCCGCCGTCGTTATCGGCACGCCTATAACGGAGGCTAATGTTGTCACCCCGCCTTCGTTATCGGCACGCTTATAACGGAGGCTAATGTTGTCACCCCGCCGTCGTTATCGGCATCAACCTTCAGGTAGAAGTTATTTTGCAAGATATTTTTCAAGCAGTTTTAAATCTTTATAGTCAAGAGACTGTTGACGTAATAAGGCTGAGTCATGCATTTGACGTTAAAGCAATGTGCTGAACCTTTTTTCATATCTAAGGGCCAAAAACAGCTCAACAGGACTACGATCACGTCTCTCAATACGGTCTTACGTAGACTTGGTCAAAGGATTTTTAAGCAAGTTTTCAGACAGTGTTTAAATTCCACAAGCTTTAGGCCGTTGTCTATAATAAGGCATGTGTATGGAGTGTAAAGCGTGTGCTATTTTGTTCCCCGTAAGGTTTGTGTGCAGTGTTGGATCACCAGTCGCAATAAACTGTTGAATATAAGTCTGAGGCATTTATACATAGTGCAAGCAATGTGCTGAACCATTATTCATATTCTTGGGGCCATCTTTATATTTAATTCAATTTGGCGTGGGACATTTTTTAATGCCGTGAAACTTTTAAATCTCTTTCATCGTTACAATATATTGTAATATTTGGATATACATCTAAATATGACAATGTAATTTCACTGTAGTCCATATCTTGTATAGTTACTATTTTTGTACACGGAAAATGATACTCAAACTATCTCAGTTTACCATCGAGACCCCGTTAGGATACATGTACTGATATTTACTAACTTATAATATATCACGAATAGGCGAGAAATACTGTTCTCCGACAGCTCCTGTTCATGTCAGCTGGTTTATATAGGTAGGATTTGTATTAGGTAGGTAACTTTACATTTCGTTCAGTAATATTGTTTAGTCAGAACAAAACTTATATATAGTTCGGTATTGAACATATTTAGTTATTAACTATATGGTTCAGTTAAGTAAAAAAAACCTTTTTTGTGTTTAGTAGTTTTATGTATTTACTTATATTATTAAATGGTTCAGTTAAGTAAAGGTTCTTTTATATTGTGTTTTACAGTAACCAGTTAAATTGTCATAAATCAATGGTGATCATATATAGGCTCCATTTATCATCATTGGCCACTGTCTGGCGTTTTTGTTGTACAGGAGATTGCCCTGCCGGAACACATTCAGTAGGCGCCGCCTGTTTAGCCTGTCCAAAGGGAAACTATCGTAACAAGAGTGAGTCCTGGATGTGCAGGACGTGCCCAGACGGTTTTACCACACTCACAACCGGTGCCACGAGTGCTACGGAGTGTACAGCCTGTATGTAATTTTCATTTACTCAGCTCAGTTTCTCCTAAAGTTGCCTGTTCTTCACGTATTGCAACATAACGATTTGTTATACATATTTTAACACTTACTGAGATCACAAAACGTTATAGTATTACATTTATATAATTTTTGAATAGAAAAATAGTAAAATCCAGTGTTTAAATTTACTTTTTCCGAATAAGCATTAGATCAAAAGTATAACACGCAACACTTGGCTACATGAAAAAATCTGTTTTATCGGCGTCCCAAACAAAGGCCGTGGCTAACAGTTTTAATGTCAACAGATGTTTTTGACTTTGTGTATGTCAGTTGGATTGGACATCAGAATAGGTCTATTCAAATAAACAGTGTAGGGGAGATAACTCCATGACTACAAAAGACTAAGATGAGTTCTAGACAGCCGGAACATAAAGTCAACGTTTTGAAGAATTATAAAGTTAAATAAGTATTTAAGGTAGATGGATCTCTTTTACAAAAACATTATTGTTTAATGCAGAACAAGTACAACAATAAAATACCCTGAATGCTCTAGTCTAAGAGTACACACTTGGTTTGTTTGTCACAGAAATAGAATACCCTGAATGCTCTTAGAGTACACACTGGATTTGTTTGTCACAGAAATAGAATACCCTGAATGCTCTGGTCTAAGAGTACACACTGGGTTTGTTTGTCACAGCTCCCTGTACTGCTGGGTTCAAGTTTGTGGTCGGGAATGGAGGTAGCTGTGTTAATTGTCCTTTCAACACCTACCAACCCACTGCTGGTGCATTCTCCTGTATCGCCTGTCCTGATGGCGGCTACACCATGACAGCAGGAAGTACCAGTATCACCCAGTGTCTAAGTAAGTCAAATTTGTCATTTCATAAGAATCTATTTTGGGATATAGTATGGTGTCTGAGTCATTTGTCCATTTTACTTTTGTTTCCCTCCAAATTAAAGTTTTGACCTTTCAAATAACATGAAATCTAATAAACTCTTCCTATGGCGTAAATATATATAACGTGGGAACATGGAGTTAAAGTATATTTGAACCACATATGTAGTTGTAATATATACTTTAGCCACATATGTAGTTGTAATATATACTTTAACCACATATGTAGTTGTAATATATAATTTAACCACATATGTAGTTGTAATATATAATTTAACCACATATGTAGTTGTAATATATAATTTAACCACATATGTAGTTGTAATATATACTTGAACCACATATGTAGTTGTAATATATACTTTAACCACATATGTAGTTGTAATATATACTTGAACCAAATATGTAGTTGTAATATATACGTTAACCACATTTGTAGTTGTAATATATACGTTAACCACATATGTAGTTGTAATATATAATTTAACCACATATGTAGTTGTAATATATACGTTAACTACATATGTAGTTGTAATATATACGTTAACCACATTTGTAGTTGTACTATATACGTTAACCACATATGTAGTTGTAATATATACTTAACCACATATGTAGTTGTAATATATACTTTAACCCCATATGTAGTTGTAATTTATACTTTAACCACATATGTAGTTGTAATACATACTTGAACCAAATATGTAGTTGTAATATATACGTTAACCACATTTGTAGTTGTAATATATACGTTAACCCCAAATGTAGTTGTAATATATATTTCAACCCCATATGTAGTTGTAATGTATACTTTAACTCCATATGTAGTTGTAATATATACGTTAACCATATATGTAGTTGTAATATATACGTTAACCACATATGAAGTTGTAATATATACTTTAACCACATATGTAGTTGTAATACATACTTGAACCAAATATGTAGTTGTAATATATACGTTAACCACATTTGTAGTTGTACTATATACGTTAACCACATATGTAGTTGTAATATATAGTTTAACCACATATGTAGTTGTAATATATACTTTAACCCCATATGTAGTTGTAATTTATACTTTAACCACATATGTAGTTGTAATACATACTTGAACCAAATATGTAGTTGTAATATATACGTTAACCACATTTGTAGTTGTAATATATACGTTAACCCCAAATGTAGTTGTAATATATATTTCAACCCCATATGTAGTTGTAATGTATACTTTAACCACATATGCAGTTGTAATATATACGTTAACCACATATGTAGTTGTAAGATATAATTTAACCACATATGTATTTGTAATATATACGTTCACCACATATGTAGTTGCAATATATACGTTAACCACATATGTGGTTGTAATATATACTTGAACCACATATGTAGTTGTATATATACGTTAACCACATATGTAGTTGTAATAGATAATTTAACCACATATGTAGTTGTAATATATACGTTCACCACATCTGTAGTTGTAATATATACGTTCACCACATATGTAGTTGTAATATATACTTTAACCACATATGTAGTTGTAATATATACTTGAACCAAATATGTAGTTGTAATATATACGTTAACCACATATGGAGTTGTAATATATACTTTAACCACATATGTAGTTGTAATATATACTTGAACCAAATATGTAGTTGTAATATATACGTTAACCACATATGGAGTTGTAATATATACTTTAACCACATATGTAGTTGTAATATATACGTTAACTACATATGTAGTTGAAATATATACGTTAACCACATATGTAGTTGTAATAGATAATTTAACCACATATGTAGTTGTAATATATACGTTCACCACATCTGTAGTTGTAATATATACGTTCACCACATATGTAGTTGTAATATATACTTTAACCACATGTGTAGTTGTAATATATGCGTTAACCACATATGTAGTTGTAATATATACGTTCACCACATATGTAGTTGTAATATATACTTTAACCCCATATGTAGTTGTAATATATATTTTAACCCCATATGTAGTTGTAATGTATACTTTAACCACATATGCAGTTGTAATATATACGTTAATCACATATGTAGTTGTAATATATACTTTAACCCCATATGTAGTTGTAATATATACTTTAACCACATATGTAGTTGTAATACATACTTTAACTACATATGTAGTTGTAATATATACTTTAACCATTTCGTGCCTAGCATGATATCTTGGTGGTCTTTATAGACTTAGATTATTTTATAAATCAAAAATTATTAGTGAACTCAGGATACAACTTGTTCACCATGCCATACTTCAAAATATTGAAGATATATGTAAGTGTTTTTTTTTAAATATGAAGGAGCGAGATCTTTTAATATAATGTTATGGCAACTTTGAAATCTTGAAATACATTTGAACTCTGAGCTCTGTAGAGACCACCTTATTGCTAATCACTCTTGTATATGTACATGTGGTTATAATAATGAACATGTGAGGCACTTCTTTCTGCCTTTGCCCAATATACCTGACTCAAAGACAAAATAGGCTTCTTTCTCTGTCTCATTTACCACTTGACATTCACTTAAATGTACGTTTGAATTTTGATTTTATGAAAATTTAATGTTTAATGTTAGTATACTGTCTACAGGAAGAAGTCGTATGTATGTTTGTATGTATGTGTGTATGTGTGTATGTGTATATATG